TAAGTATCACTATTTTTACTTTTTAGATGAGGAAACTAAGGCTTGAAATATTTACCTGCTATGGATTTTATAAAGTTGAATGTTCCTTTTTTTTTTTTTTTTTGTCTTTTTCCTTTTTATCGGTACCAGGGATTGAACTCACGACTGCCTGCTTGCAAGGCAGGCACTTAAGCTGCTGAGCTAAATCCCCAGCCCCCGAATGTTCCTTTTTTAATAAAAATAATTTTTATGAAGCCTTACAATATTTCTAGAATTTAACCTTACACACAGACCTTCAGATTATAAAAAGCTACTAATAAAAGATACTAGGAGGTTTAACAAAACACTGTTTGATGAAAACAATATAGTACTTTGAGTGTTTTTTTAAACTTTTGAAGCGCCCTCCTCCCCTGCCTGAGTGTTACCCACTGCTTTTATTATTTTGAGACAGGGTCTCGCTAAGTTACTGAGTTGTCTGGGCTGGTCTCTAACTTGTGCTTCTCTGGTCTCAGCCTCCAAAAGCTCTGACATCAACATACATGTGTCACCACACCTGCTTTTAGCACGGTTTTGTAATGAAGATACAAAAGAAATACAACTTTGTAACTGTATTTTGTGTGTCCTTATGATAAGCTCTGTTGAATTTTTGCTAGGTGATAATTTTATTGGTAAATTTTTTCTTTCTAATTGAATTTTTTATTAGTACATAATTATAGTTCATAATGTTTGCATTCATCCTGAGGAGTTATTGCATGTCCATAACACACCTCAATTCTTTTTACTAGTAGTTTACTTACAGAGTTTACAGATTCTTACAGGTAAGAATTTGAAGCCAGTGTCATTAGCAAGAGAGTCTTTAGATATTGATATAAACACTAAAGTTGGGCATGCTTTGCAAGTCCTTTTGTGTGGTATGCTTTTACAAAACTTAGTTGACTGAACACTGAAACAGCATTAATGTTATCACAGTTAAAAAGTGGAAATAAGAAAAGACAAGAACTTAAATTTTCAGTGGTAACAGTGTACATCTTTGAAATGGTGAGAAGTCATGACAGTGATATGAAATGAGGGAAGCTTTTAAAGATGTGGTTAATAAGATGGAAGAGAAAAAGTTTTAGGAAAGATCATAGCTGAGCTGGGTATGGCCTCCCACACCTGTAATCCTAGCACTTGGAAGGCTGAGCCAGAGGATTTTCCCAAGTTTGAGTCCAACCTGGGTTACATATTGAGTTCAAAGCCAGCCTGAACTACATAGCTAGACCCTGTCTCAAAACAAACAAATCATAGCAAATCTTACAGAATGTTTTTACCCTACTGTATAAGCCTAAATGAGGGGAATTAAGAGGGATTATATGAAAAGCTTGTGGCATTACATTTGTGCACCTGACAGTGTTACTTCCTCAATGCTCTGATTCATTTGTTAGTACTGTATAGTTAGGTTCTGGTTTAATTTTTTTTTTTTTTTTTTGTCTTTTTCCTTTTTATCGGTACCAGGGATCGAACTCACAATTGCCTGCTTGTAAGGCAGGCGCTTATGCCGCTGAGCTAAATCCCCAGCCCCTAAATTATTATATAATAGCAATAATAGTAGATTTTTGGTAAGTATCTACAAACATACCAGCACTGTTTTACACACTTCTCATGTATTTTCACTTCAATCCCTGTTACAAATTTATGAGATAGGTAGTTTTGCTTTTTTACTTCGTGAAAACTTGAGATACTAGTGTATAATTCCAAATTACACAGACCATCAAAGAACACTTATTTAACATCCTCTGCTGTTGAAGGGAAGTATGTTAGACAGTTTGCAAATTGTGTCATTTTACTTTAATAAATTCTTGTTACGTTACTGAGATCACTCAGTTGGAGATTTCTGAGTAATCAGAGCATTAAATTATTAGCTTTGAATGGCTGTCTTGTAATTATATATAAGGAATGTAAAGTAAAACAGTGAATAGTTTTAATCAGCGTTAAGTACTAGTACTCTTGACATTTGCTTCAGGGATACCTGTCTTAGCAGTTTAAGTTGAAAGTATTTTGGTACTTTATACGGTATACCAGAAGATTTAAGACTTCGTAACTTACTACTTCTGTTCTTGCTAATTTGTGCAAATCTGCATTTTTTGTGGTAGTCATTGATTTTATTCTCAGGCTTGGATCTGAATGAATTTTGGATGTTTTTCTAGCAATCAAACCAAACCTCATGAATTTGAGGCTTTATTGTTATTTCAGATAGTGTAATCTGGTAGACATGAAAAATTCAAAGAGCATTATATTACTAGCTGTTGAGCCCTGCATTCTGGCTCACATGCTTGTGATAAGTTAATGAATGTGTTCCCTCAGTTCAAGAAGTAGTTTAGATCATTATTACTTACATGATCTCTGAAGTTTCAGTTGTGGAGTATTATAAGTCAAGGTTTTGAAAGTAAATTCATAATTGAATTCACCATACACTGAATCTTTGAAAATGTTCATTTGTATTTAAAAGTAACAAAAAGTATTTTTGGAATGTTGGCATCTAAGCTACCTAAAAATTTTATTTCATATTTTTTACATGTATATTAACATATTCACTATTTTGAATTTTTCACTGAAAATATTAATGCTGTGTTTTGACTAATGGTCTACTTGTTTGACTAATGTTCGACTTGTTTGGGGAATGGGTTGAAGTAACAGCTCTCAATTGATTAACCTTTTTGCTAAGATTTGCTTGTAAATACTAGCCATTCACATAGATTTTTGCGTATCATTTGTTTATTAATTACTGCATAAACATGCTTCAGTGTCACTGATTAAAATGTATCTTGCTAAGACACTCAGAAGAGGTGAAAGTTTTAGTTTGTAGTTCCAAGGCACCAAACAAAGAATATTGGCTGAGTAAAAGTAATTCTATCAAAATATCCTTCCACTACATTTAAGGAGAGAGAAGTGCCCTACTTAGAACCAAAAATGAAAATAATTGATCACTGTATTAAATTTTACAGTGTTTAATAGAGAAAAAATGTAACTGATATAATACAAACATTTATTGAGGCTACAAATGCAAGTTTCTAGTGCTTATTCTAAGTATTATAGCTCCCTTCCCACCTGCTTACAAAAGCACCATTTTTATGTCAGTAATACAAATCTCAGCAAATATGGAGATTATTAGGATTTAGGATATATTGAATTATGAAGGAACATATTTAGGCTTTACTTTGGGGAAATTAACTTTAGCAGTGCAATAATCCTGATTAAATTTCATAGTAAATCAAATGTGTATTATTTAACAACTGTACAGAAGCAATCTGTCCTCAGAAATAGTAATAGGACTATGCAGATTTTGTTTTTTAAATTATAGGAATATGTTTAGCAAAGAAATGGATTATAAAAGTTTGTGGCACTTTTAGCCAGAGGTCACATTTTAAAATATAGGTACATTGTAACCAACTTTATAAAGTATAAACTTACTTGAACAGTCTTTTGTGCCTATGGAGTAGAAATAAAGGCCTTAAAATACAGTTAGGCCCTCTGAATTTTTGGTTTCAACCATGAATTAATTTTTTTCTAAAAAAATTAAATTAATTTTCTAAAAAATCAAAAAATTAATTAATTTTGTGGTTCTGGGATCAAATCTACGGCCTTGCACATAAAAGGCAAGAACTGTACCACAGAATCACATCCTCAAAACTCAAAAAATATTTTTAGAAAATTATATCTGAACAGACTTTTTCTTATTCCCTACATGATGTAGTATAACAACTATTTATACAACATTTACATTGAATTTAGGTACTATGAATTATTGAGAGAAGATTTAAGGTATCCAGCAGATGTGAATGGTATATTTAAATACTGTGCCATGCTGTGAGGGACTTGAACATCAGAAGATTCTGGTATGGTGGCAGTATGCTGTAACAGTCCCACTCAGGCATGTCTGTATGTTGAAACACATTTGTACCCATTTCATTTTCAGTGGAGAGTGAATGATAGGTGGACTGTGAGACCTATCCAGGGTTGTTGTAGCTGGCTTGAAGGAGGAGGTTCAGCTTTTATTTGTATTTAAGATTAATGTCCAGATTGTTCTTCCTCACTTACTGCTTTAGCATCACCATTAGAGTCAGAGTTGCCAGCGAACTGTAAAAGAGGACCAGATCCAATGGGTATTTCCTATCCTCAGTTTGTGGGACCTCTGCACACCATCGGGCCTGTTAGCCAGTTTTTTCCCTGGAAACGCTGTCCTCTCTCAGCTTCCATGGTATTGTAGTCTCCTGGTTTTGGTCCTCCTAGTACTTTTTAGTTTGCTTTGCAGTTTCCTGTTCATCTGCTAATTTCTGTGTTTTACATGGAAGAGCCAGTTTTGTGTTGTGTTGTCTTTGATATTCTCCTCCAGGTGAACTCCTCTTAGTCTTTTGGCTATTTCTCCATACGCTCTGCAAGGTGGCAACTCCTCAACATGTTAGTGTAGACACAGATACCCACTAAGGCCCATTTCCCTGCTACCGTCTCCACATCCACACTTTTTTCCACCTTTCTAATCTTTCCTACGTAGCAGTCGCCCATCTTTTGGGGATGTAAATCTAATTATACTCACTTTAAAGCTAAACTCAGGTTTTGTTTTGTTTTTTTAATGAAATGCAGACTCCTTTCCTGGCCTCACAGGAACTGTCAGGAGTTGGGCTATCTTTTGCCTTCCTGCTCATCCTGTATAGAAGCCCCCTTGCTTACTGTGCCCTGTTCCCACTGGCCTGTTGTTAGTGCTTCATGTTTCTGTTGCTTTGATCTAGGCAGCTTCTGGCTTCTCCTTTGCATGGCTGGCCCCCTTCTACTCTACTCTTAGCTTCTTGGGAAGCCTTTCATCCACTGCCCATAAGAGGTGTACGCTCCCACTCCCCCCACACACTGTTGTCTCAGCCCTAGTTAGTGTTTACTTTCACAATGTTTACTTTGTTTTATTCACTAATTTATCATCAATGTGTAGCTTGTAGTAAAGTGTCCCACAAAGTGTTTTTGAATTAAATAAGAAAACATGAACACTTGAATTCTGAGGTAAAAATATCTCCAGATATACTTTATTTTTCTTCATTGTAACTTTATATTCTGAATATAGTTGGTGAGCTCAGAGTAGTCACTTGGTTCATATTGACTCAGTATAATGCTTGGGAATAGAGGGAAATGATAAAAGAAAATGTAATAAACAGTAATGATAAGAGACAAGGAAACTTTTGCAGGTACTATGGAGTATAGGTTCTACAATGAAGGTTTGTACTAGGTTCATCAGGAGTACCATGTAGAGAATAGGTACTTTTTCAAACTGGTGGCTGTGAAGAGTTCTGGGTCTTGAAATACTGCTCTAGTCAAGAGACTCAGGTAGACAAGGAAAGGTAGAAGGCATTCATTACTGAGCTGCCGTATTACCCTGGGGAGATAGAAGATAGCAGCTGTCTCTTGATTCCCAAATCTATTCCATTCCTGAGTTACTGACAGCAAGTATGAAGAGGCCAGACAGCTATTAGAATCCTGAGTTTGAAGACAGAGTCTTTGGGTATGGCTATAATAAAGGATACCCTTGAGGGAGATACTAGGGTCTGATGTTGCAGGACAGAATTCAGAAGCACACCCTGTGGTATGCTGTGGGCTGGGACTTGAGACAACCACAAGATTTTACGCAGCCAGCTGCACAAAGAGCGTTTCAGAACAATTATTCTGGTTAAAGGAGTGTGAGGACTGTGGGTCAGGAGGCAGAGAGGCAACTATGAGGCTGAGATACACGGTGAGAGGTACTGAGGGAATGAACAGCTAAGTGGAAGGAGGGGAGAAAACAGATTGAACAGACTAACGCCACACTGAGATGATCTGATATCTGGCAATCTGAGGTCCTGCGTAGGTAGATCTGCTGCCCACTAACTTAGAAGGAACTGGTAAACAACACATTTGAGAGGAAAGATGATCACTTTTGGAATTACTGAGTTTGAGGCTACAGTAGGGTAAGTATTTCTGAGTATTAGAGATCTGAGTCTGGAACTCAGGTGTAAGATACAGGTTAAACCTGGCAATCAGTGTAGACTGGGAAGAGGACACAGAGAAAGACAGCAGCCCTGGAGAACAAATTTAAGGGTTGGGCATGGTGGTACATGTCTGTAATCTCACTACTTTGGGAGGCTGAGATGGGGGAACTGCAAGTTCAAGGCCAGACTGAGCAGTTTAGTGAAAGTGTCTCAAAATAAAAAATAAGAGGGCTGGGCCTGTAGCTCAGTGTGAAGGCCATAGATTCAGTCGCCAGTATTGTCATTGGTACCTTCCAGAGATACTAGTTTTTAAAAAAAAGACTACCATCAGAGTTGGAGGAAGACAAGCTGACTTTTCAAGAGCTTGAAGCAGTCATATGTTGGAGACCACCATGTTCATAATGGAAAAGTAATGGTCCTTCCATCAAAACCTAATTCATTTTCTTAACTACAGACTATACTTCTAGCCCCAGTTAATTGTTTTGAAAATATTTCATCTTAGTTAAAGGGAAAGGATTAATAATTGTGTGAATGAGCCAATACAAATTGATTATCATTTCTGGAAAAATCAATCCAGTATACCAATGTATTGGGAAGGCAGTAATTTACATGTAAATTAATGTGCTATATTTATTATATACCAGATAAATTGCAAAGCACTGTTTCTTTAGTGTAATTTTATTGCCAGTCACATAATAGCCTGATGGCGGGATCTGTGTTAAAATACATATGCTTTAATATAATGTCTTACAGTATAGTGCTATAGTTAATGGACAGTGTGTCAGCCAGAGAAGGTACATGTCTATGGTGCAGTCTCTGTCTAGTATCTGTCCTCTGCTATGACAGACTGTCAAGGATGTGGATGCCCTCATGCAAACTCTACATAAAAGATCCTAACTTCAAAAAGAAAAATGCTGATTTAACAAAATCAGTGTAACACCTATCCAGGCAAACAAGCTATTCATACCAATCTGTCTTTTTGGAAAAATTTAATAGATTTGAAACATAAGCATAAGGTTGCTTGGGGAATGTAGGAGCTGAGAAAGCAGTTGGTGCTTTGAGGGTGGGGAGAAGAGTGCTCTAAATAAAATTTTGTTGAGGGGGGTCTGTGAAAAGTAGGCAGGGTGTAGGGTCCAGGGGTGATTATGTCTGTCTGCATTAAAGGACCTGATAATCTCTTAAGATCTCTTAAGAGTATAATGACAAGAATTGACCTTCTTTTGAGGAAATGTATGAGGGATATATAATGCCATGTTTGATGCAAATAGATTTTGAAATACATTGGAATGCTTTAATATTTTTCCTTTGAACCTGCAGGTTCTCCTGAAAAGAAAGTTGAACATTTAAACACAAATCAAGATGTTAACACTGCATACCCTATTAGGAATGGTAAAGCAAGTCCAATACCTAAAGATCAGCAGATTGGAAAGAAAATTTCAGAGAATTCGTCAGTACAGGATCGAATGCAAAAGGGAAATGACGACTCTGAAAGTGATTTTGAATCGGATCCCCCTTCTCCTAAGAGCAGTGAAGAGGAAGAGCAAGAGGATGAAGAAATTCAGGGAGAACAAGGAGATTTTAATGATGATGATACTGAACCAGAAAATCTGGGTCATAGGCCTCTCCTCATGGATTCTGAAGACGAAGAAGAAGAAAAACATAGCTCGGATTCTGAATATGAGCAGGCTAAAACAAAGTACAGTGGCATGAGTCCTGTCTGCAGAGACAAACTGGGGAGTGGACCCCAAGACCCTATTGCAGCAATCTTCACTCCAGTTCACTTAGCCGTTGATGCTGGAGTGGACACTCACAAACAGGAGTTTGATGTATTTGGCGCTGTCCCCTTCTTTGCAGTTCACACTCAACAATCCCAGCAAGGAGAGAATGAAAAGAACCTCTCTCAACAGACATTTCCTACTGTAGGGCTAGAGCAAGAGGAGTTTGATGTATTCACAAAGGCACCCTTCGGCAAGAAAGTAAATATACAGGGTTGCCCTGTAGCGGGGCCCAAGGCACACACTCTGACCAGTTGTCCCAAAAGTGTAGATATATTTGGCTCCACTCCCTTTCAGCCCTTTCCCACATCTGCAAATAAAAGTGAAAGCAAAGAGGACCTTTTTGGGCTTGTGCCCTTTGAGGAAATAACTGGGAGTCAGCAGCAAAAAGTCAAACAGCGCAGCTTACAGAAACTGTCCTCTCGCCAAAGGCGCACGAAGCAGGATGTGTCCAAAAGTAATGGCAAGCGGCACCATGGCACACCAACTAGCACAAAGAAGACTTTGAAGCCTACCTACCGCACTCCAGAGAGGGCTCGCAGGCACAAAAAAGTGGGCCACCGAGACTCTCAAAGCAGCAATGAGTTTTTAACCATCTCAGACTCCAAGGAGAACATTAGCATGGCGCTGAATGATGGGAAAGACAGAGGCAGTGTCCTACAATCTGAGGAGAGTCTGTTGGACCCCTTTGGTGCCAAGCCCTTCCATCCTCCAGACCTGCCGTGGCACCAGTCACACCAAGGCCTGAGTGACATCTGTGCTGATCACAATACCGTCCTGCCTGGGCGGCCAAGGCAGAACTCGCTGCATGGGTCATTCCATAGTGCCGATGCGTTGAAAATGGATGACTTTGGTGCCGTGCCCTTTACAGAACTTGTGGTGCAAAGCATCACGCCACATCAGTCCCAACAGTCCCAACCAGTTGAATTAGACCCATTTGGTGCTGCTCCATTTCCTTCTAAACAGTAGATACTTCTGATGGATTCTTGGCATTAACTCCTGTTTCAAAAGAGTATGAATAGTTTTATGAATTTTAAAGAAAATTTATTTGTAAAGCTCTTTATATCATTCATTCTTACAAGTTAATCCAGATAGTGATTTTTAAATAAACCAAATAGAAAAAAGAAGTCTCCCTACAGGGTAGTAACTGGATGCTTCTTCCAAGTAGGAGAAAAAGGAGCTGAATTCTGAATTGATAGCTCTGATGGCTTTCTGGTGCTGACACTGGGACACAGAAATGCAAGAGGGCACTTGCAGGGAAAGCTCATAGCACCTTTGCAAGTGTGCAGTCACTGCAAAGGGACAGGAAAGCTGTGTCATTATTCTTGGTATCAAAGTGTCACTTAGTGCATATCTAGGTTCATTCCAGACACAGCATTTAAAAGTAGGCTAATCTGTACATACATTACATTTGTGAATTTTCACACAATGAAAACAACCTAGCTTGGAAAGAATGAGGAAGATAACTATTTGGACAGTGTAGATGTCAGTTCATATTCATTTCTCTACAAAGCAGAGCCAGAAGTAACTATTGTGCCTAAAAAACTGTTGCATTTTAAAAACAAGTGCCATTAATATGGAATATCTAATGATAATTATGTGATTATATATATGTTGATTAGCTTAATTTTGCCCTTCCACAACATACACATATTTAAAAATATGTTGGTATACACAGTTTTTGTCAATTAAGAAATTAATTTAAAAAATACAGAATAATAGAAGCCTAGAACAAAAATGTAGAGAAATATCTGGCATTTGAAACAAAATGATACAAAGAATGAAAAAACATTCAGTACTTTACATTTTATGTTGTTTTTAAGTTGCCTCTTGCCAAAACCTTTTATCATGTCCCTAGTAAAGCAGATACTGAAAAAAAAAACCTGAGGAATAAAGGGTACATGGAAATTTTCGGAGAAAATGTAGTTGAAACCCTGAATTTTAAAGATGTTTACAGTGTCAAATCATGTTGTTTTAAATAATGTGCTTTATTACCAGCTTCATCATATGTTCCCCAAGTCATGAGCAACAATTAGCTTCTTTCGATTTGGAGGTTGGGGTGGTTTTAATAAAGTACACAGAGCAGATACCCACAAAGCCTTACAGGCAGGACTGATTCCTGCTGTAATTACCTCTGCCCTGGCGCCAGACCTAAAAATGGAGTGACAAATGAGAGGGCAAGGGCTAGCATCTGATTCTGCTACTACATGGCCTTTTTTTTTTTTTCCTTTAAACACCACAAATCCTAATTAGGAACTTGAGATTTTATAGAATTTAATGATAGTAATTACATATATGGATTAATGTGAACACGGTATCTAAGCTTTCTGTATGTTATTAACTGTCTTTCACTATCAGCTTAACATTTGGAAGTTTCTAGAACTGTAAAGCTATTTACAAAGGGGGGGACTTTTCAACTCATTCTCCTTGGTTGCTATATTTTAAATTAATTCTTTGCACCCAATTAAAATGTATTTTATGAATAATCTTAGTAGAATCACAATTATAATACCTTAACAGGATAAGTTACTTGTCTGTTTTCAGTTCTGAACTTGAAAGGAAGCAAAGTATAGTTCACTTTGGATTGCTTCCTTTTGTTCCCTGTATGGTAACTCAGAAATTTGTGGGGGGGGGAAGATCCATGAATCACAGTGCAGCAGAGGCTGACCAAGCAGTATATTACTACTCACAATTGCGCTTTTAGAGCTGTACTGCACCAGTTGTTCTGTGCCAAAGGTAAATATGTTTGCACCTTTTTTTTCCCTCCCAATTCTCAGGTTAATACTGCTAATGCAAATGTTCAAGTAGATGTTCTTTAAAAAGTCAAGTGGAAATTCATGAAGTATAGTAGGTTTGTATCAAATTTTTAAAATGGAAACCTGTTGGTTAATGTGTACACAATATGCTTGACTATTAACAATCGTTGGTCTGTGCTAGACCTCAGGAGTTTATCATTTAGAAGGAGAGCTGAAGTAATGAGGTCTCCATGGGAAAAAAATACCTAATTTTACTAGCTTTTCAGTACACTGAATAATTTTAAATAATCCAGACACCAATATATGTAGACCTTTTGGCTTACATTGTTGGATAAATTCTAAGGAAACAGCTCTGCCACAATTTAAAATATTTACTGTCTTGCTTTTTGTAGCATATCCTGTTGATTTTCCTCTTCAGAGATTGTTGCTTGGGGGAAAGATCTAGGATTGTTCAGTGAGATAGAAATGGGAAAATTCTTTTGTTTTGAGGCATTTTCCTGAAGAACAAAGATACACACTTTACATTTTCACTCATCACCTCCCCCTAACATGGTCAACGTGTCACAGCTTGTGGCCTAGGTAATTTCTTTGTGACAGTTAAGCTCCCCAGATACGGGAAAGCATTTAACATAGTACCTGGCACACTGTGCTCAGCAAAAGTTTGGCACTATTTTGGGATTATTTTCCTATGTAGATAAGCCCTGTGCCCTCAGGATGCATTGTAGTCCTAACTCTACACCTGCTATACTTGAACATCACTAAGAGAAGTAATATGAAGCTAGCAAAAATCTGAGGCCAAAGTTGTTTTCTAACAGCTTTAATAGTGCTTGATTTTTAATTACCTTTTAAAAAATAGACCATTTGCTTAACGATCCTAGTATCACCTCAATACAATGTTAGTATTAAGAAGATTTATGCAAATTGAGGACATTATGCATTAAGACACAAAAATTGGACAAAAAAAATAGGAGAAGATGCAGGTGGGTGAAAACGTAACTGATTAGAACATTCAGAATTGCAGCCCTCCACCATCTGTGGTTTTGTGTATATGGAGCATAGTTAGGACATCATCTGGACTTGCAGATAGGTGTAGCTTTGGATATGACCCTGTGTATTGTTTTTATTAGCAGTGATACTGCTGTTCTTGTTATGCTGGCAGAAGAGACAAAAGTGGAGCTCACTTTTCTGTGCTGGTGTTCATCAGGAAGAGCAATTCTCTTCCTCAGCTACTCTGCTGGGTTTGGTTTTTAGGTTTGGTACTTCACATAAGCACTGTTAGAAGGTACAAATGTATTAATATCACTAGATCTGAGGAGTTTGGGTACATTTGTTTTAATATATGTAGAATGTAAGGTTTTTTCCTCTTTTTGGCAAAACTACTCTTACCATTTTAGGTCCAATTATTGAGTTGACAGTCTACTGTGAGAATTAGATGACATATCTACTGTGAGAATAACAAATGATAGTTTATTTGAAAACTTTTATACTCAGTAGTGTTTTATGTTTTGATTAAAAATATATATACACATGCACATCACATCGCTCTCCTGTGGAGTTAATGTGAATTTAAAGAAAAATGGAATTGCAACTACAATCATATCTAAAAGAACATTCATTCATAGTGAGGGTTTACAAAAGCCACTAAAAGAAGAAAGTAAATGATGAAAATGCAAAGGATTATCATTTTGGGGTTATTTTTGTTTTAAAATTTTTAGTACTACTTTTGAAATAAATTGTTTTTATTACTGTTCTCTGTGATTGAAAAGTCATCTAATAGCAATATAGAGGCTACTTTTTAATTGCTGGCAAACAGCTTTAAGTGCACTTTCTTTGATTATTCTTCCATTTTTGTTAAACTTGAATTTCTGAAGCCTTTTATGTACCACTAAGCCAATAATTTTACCTTTAAATAAACCCGATTTACATCTTTATGTATTTCTAATTGTTGTAAAATGTACTTGCTAAAGTATCTTTAGTCTTAAAATACAGCTGGGAAACTTGAGATGGAATCAGTTGCTTTTCCCCCAAAACCTAATGAAGCACTAATTTTATTACTTTATTTTCTTTACATTGCTTATTCTTGAATTCTGTCCCTGATTCACTTTGTTTGAAATTTAAAGTTATTTTCTTACTGTATTTATCATACTTGTTTTAATAATCTGCTTTCTTTAAATGCAATAAATCCCCAATGGATTGCCTATTCTTTATAATCAGTGATTTTGGAGTTTTTCATTATTTGTCTTATTAAAGTTTTGGATATAAACTTCTATTCAGTTCTTTCATTCACACTATACACATTAAGGGTGTGGCAGCTAGTGAATACAAAATAAGACTGGATACCTGTTCTGAAGAAGCTTATAGTTTAACTACGAAAACCCATTTTGACCTGAAATTTTTGCAGTCAGAATAGTAGCACAATTATGTTAGTCACAACTGTTACTGATACAGAGATGATAGCAAGGCAGAAATATCTTGAAGTGCCTTTTAAATAACTCATTTGGCATAGTTTTTGTATTATTTATACTTTAATTTTAAAACTCCCAAAAGACTTTTAATATACAACTGTTAAAACTTTTTGGTTAAATAACTCCTTGACTGTGTCAGAAAAGAGGCTTTGGCACCTTAGAGAGAAAAACCTGTTTAGTGGATTGATGGACGAAGAGTGGTGTCAAGCTGCCTTACCATTTTGCAAAGTGTTTTCCACAAACTGGAGTCTTGATTGGTAGCTTGTGACAGTTTCTCAGCAAAAAGGAAGATTCGCCTTATCTGCTATGAATGACTTTTTCTTTTTTGTAGCAGTAACATTTATCTAAAGTTATGTGAAGAATATGGGCTTTGTATCTTTTTAATGAATAACCCAAAGCAGCAAACTGAAATGATTAGAAAAGTTATATAAAAGAGCAATTTACAATGCATCATTGTTCAAATTTGGGTAAATATTTTAGGGGAAAATATGTTAAATTTGTTTTCAATAATTCCTTTTTAAGGAAGCTCAAGCAGTGTATGTAGCATGCAGACAGTAGTCTTGTTTTGAAGGCATGAGCTTTGCAATTTTAATTTGTTGCATATTTTAAAAAGTTTAGATGGCTGGCACAAATGAGATTATATGATACTAGGCAGTATAGCAGTTTAAGGCCTTAATAGTGATTGGGTTTTGCTGCTGAGGATATAAAGACTCATAAGAGGGTCTTCCTGCTAATTCTTCCTTTAAGAAAAAAAAATTTTTTTAAAGGGAATTTTAGCTCTGGATCATTATCCCATTAACATGCAGGAGTGCGGCACTAAATTGAAATGTACCTCAGTACCTTGGAGCATCTACACCTCTTCAGTATAAACACAGTGACTGTAATAATGGGTATGGAAGGCACTTCTGTAACAGCTAAGTGGATCCTTCCCACTCTTTGACTGGGATGAAACTACTAGGGTTGACTTGGGGTGAGTACGGACCTAATCAGTACAGCAGTTGGCAGGAGTCCAGGAGTGCAGGCCTTGCCCTTGACATTTAATACAGGGCAAAGTACATCTCTAGTAGGTACCTGCCAAATGGAGAGTTGTATACCCTTCTGCCAGTCAATCACAATCTTCCAATCAGTTACTCTGTCCAGGAGGGATGGCGTAAGGTGTGACCCTGATTCTTCATTTCTGATTCTAAAATATGATTTTAAAGCTGTTACGTATTATAAAGAATGACAAGCAGTACTTAATATATTTAATAAACTCAGTTTATTTACATAATACATATTTTATCATGCAGTTTATTGAATTGCACTCAAGTGTAAAAGACAAGCACTACTTTCCTATTTGAAAACGGCTTCATACCTGGAAAGCATTGTTGTTTGAAGAATTAACTATAACCCTATAAATTGCTATGATTTAAAACAGCCATAGGTAATTTTAAAATGTAAAGTCTGTACATAAAGACCTTTTACTGTTTACACATAGGTACAACTAAAACTAGTCTTTCTTAGTACTGTAGCTGGATAGTATACTTTTAGTCTTTAATAAATTGATAAAAATAAAGTATACATTATTACAAGGCTGGAATTTATAGGCAACTTTATTCTTTAATGTTAATGTCTTAAAAATGTCACCAGTAGTGCTGTGCACACAGTAGGTGGTAGATAAATACTGACATACAGAAGTGTTTATAGTTGAGGGCAATCTACATTCATTCATTCCTAACTTTACAATAAATACATCATTCATTGTGATAATGAAAGAAGATAGCTTTCTTATAGTATTTAGTATTTTCATAAAACATTGAAATGTTTGTTTAGAATAATTCTGCCTATTAGAATAATTTAGTTAGACCTATATGCCTTCCTTTTATATTCAAAGAAATACTAATTTTGAAAGACTCTATGCTATTTTTATGTTAACTCAGGCGACAAGTAGTACACGTATATACTGTGACCAAAAAAGAAACAAAACGAAAAAAAACACTCAGGAATTTTGAAGACTGAAAGTAAAAGTCAACATTGTTTTTTCTTTTCATTTTAAGAAGATTTTAAAAGAAAAATGGTCCCAATCTAAAAGTACCTGAACTTCCCTCTTATTTTTAATTTGGTATCTTAACTATGTACTTAATGTATTTTGTTTTGACCAAAATGACAAAACGTCTGCTTAAAGCATTGTCATGTAAGCCAATATAGGGTGTTTTAGGGAAATAGTCCTACTGTTGCACCAAAATCTTCTAACATTTAACATACAAATCAAAGTTGTGGTTTTATGTGTACAATAGCCATTCACAGCATTCCATGATCACAAAGGATATGCCAGAGTGAACCCTTAACCTATTGTTAAATGGGAGGTTATTTTCTAACAGAATCTATGAAATATCAGTATGGGCAATTTATATTCCCAAAACACTATAGTGGAAAGAAACACATTTTATACATGCATTATTGAGGTACATTAAAGTTGCTTTCCTAATACTGGATATTCAAAAAAGGCATTTTGGAATAAGCTTCAACATCAATCAGTCTTTCTTGTGATGCTCAGTTAAAAAATGTAACAGCAAACAGAACTGCTTGTCAACTGATTAAGAAACTTTGGTATATTCCAATAAACGAGGTTTATGAATATCTGCTTTATGGGATTTAATTTATGCATATGAACAACAAAAGGGCATTTTACTCTGACAGGAAGCAACATGTATTTTTAAAGTATAAACAAAAAGGACAAGTTTAATGCTTTGGGTCCAAATTATACTGTATCAGTTTATCAATGTAATGCTAATGCATCCATAAAACTAGAGCACTGGTGAATAATCTCATCAAATGTGGTATCTGCAAGAATTTGTTCTAAGGCTTAAGGTTCATTTTAGGGTCAAGACAACCATGCAGACCCTACAGCCTTAAGAGTAGCACCCATATAACAAAATCCCCATCATCATGAAATACAGAACTATAAATTTAGAAAGGTGAAAGCTATTCTGGATTTCTGCATCAGAGTCTTCTGCAATCCATTCTCAAGAACTCAGTTTACATGGAATCAAATAATATTTAGAAATAAAAGGCTTAGGTGGCTGAATTGGTTATTAGACCACAGAATTTGTTAGTTAGCTATTCTATTTTAATGCAACTATTATCAGAAAACTATTATTTTCCTTTTCTCAATACCTCTCTCAAAGGACAAGTTTAAGGTTTTTGTTCTGGAAAACTAGTATTTCTCAGAAAAGTAGAACCTACAGCTAAAGGAAATGATACCTTAAGTGCCAATTTCTCACAAAATGTGTAAAGGCTGTGATTATTTAAAATCACTATCTTAGCTTGTATTAAGCACAGGTTGTAACAATGTTCACCTTGATTAGGCACTTCAATTTCATTATTTAATGAAAATACTTTCTATTAAAATAATCAGACAGGGTGACTCCACTTCCAATGAAGATGAGCCCTTCCTAAGAGAATTAAGCTGGTGTTAAGTAAAATGAATCCTACTTCTATGCTAGTCTCACATTCATTGTTGTTATTCAGACGTTATGATTGCCAACTAATGTTCACTTTCTGTACAAGCAGCAAATTAGTAGTTTTCAGGGTCTGTAAAGGAGTTATTACTGCAGATCTCCAAGTATATTTTTCCATTTTTATAAAGCATTACTCATGATATATTAAACAAGAGGAAAGGAAAAAACTAATAGGAACCTTATAAACAGTGAAACCTTATAAACAGTGGGATATATAACTCCCCATTATATATTGCTTAAACAACTGAATTCATCAGGTGGCCATACCTGATTCACAAATGTGAAACATAGTCAGGACAAGGCTTGCTGTGTCTGTACTGCATGACATACACTGTGGACTGATGCCACCAATATAGCATCACTACTGCCAAGATATGCCATATTTGGTGACTTGATCCGAGGTAGTTTAGTTGTCCTGTAAGGGAGAGCAGAAAGAAATTAATATTGATTGCATTATTTTTCTATTAAAACACTTCTACTTTTGTCCTTGGGACTATGGTTTAACAGCAAACAAACAAACAAACAAAACTGTAAGTTTCAGTTCCTAAGAGTCACAGAAATTCAGACCTAGATGTTTAAAAAAGATGTTTGATTCATTGAGTACACAGGTAGATTTTAGGAACGGTATTATCAGTATGTGTTTAAAATCTAATTCCTTAATTTCAGGGATTTCACCTTTTGCCTCTGATGTCTCGTATCAGGTGGAATGGGAAAAAATTCTTGTATGACAGAGGCAAAAGAAACCAGTATTACAAATTGGACCGATTTAGCCTGAATCTGTGAGCTGATGCATACTGTGTTTAGACACGAATCTGTCAGGAGTATGTTTTGTTTTATGTTGATGTACAAGGAGAAAAAGCTCATCTGAATTTTATGCTTTCTAATGAAATACACTGCAAAATTCTGCAATTAGCAATGGGCTACTTGATAAGGTTGATTAGTGGACATACAACTTTGGAGAACAATTTAATTTCTCTTGTAGTTGTAGGTTAAATTCTAAGATCAGATAATTAACATGTTGGAAGCAGCCTGATTTTTCTCGGTAAATAAGAAAATACTGAGCTACAACAATGTAAGTGTACACTTTTTTCTCTTTTACTCTTTGTGCTTCTAATTTCTTACCAAGAATAATACTTAGTACAGAATAAGTTAAATCCTTATGGATTTTCTTCTTAACCTTTTTTGGAGACAGAGGGCATGGTCTCCTTTGACTACTAGTGAAATCGATAGTCCCATTTTTAGCAACAAAGAGAAATACAAATAAAATGGACTGTCTTGCAATACAAACAGGAGATATCCATTCAGTTCTAACCATGTACACCTTGGAGATACTTGGGCCCATCATTAGCACTGTGATATTTATGTATTTTTTAAAAAATTAATGAGCTGAATTTATGTTCTTAGGTTTAAATTTTTAAATTTCCCAGTACCCACTGTCTGCATGACCCACACCTCTCATACACTGAGAAGGTGCTTACCCTTCAACATGTAGAACTATCACTTTCAACCAGAAAGGCATCAGTTTTTATGGTCTTTACATCTTAACAGTTCTCAGGTATCTGCACTAAGCCCCACAGCTACAGGGAGCATGCTACAATTCAAGCTCATCTTGGAGAAACTTAAGTTGTATGTCAACTAATCATCCTTAGTTAAGCTCAACTTGGAGTTACTTAACATTTCAACTTTTATAGGTATTCAGTAGTTAAACAATTCTTAGCCTGTCATTTGAATATTTTAAGGCCTAAAAACACAACAGGCATAATGGCATAGTATGTTTTCAGGTTCAATTTTCAAAGTGACCAATGTCAGAATTTTTAAACGAATTGCTAATAATGTGATACAAAAAAATGTATTTTCCCAGAACTGCTTTTTGAGGAAAACTATGGTGTTGCCTTGAAAATGTGTGCCCCACTTATGTTCCTGAATTCTAGAGTTTATACCCTCAGGGTCTGTATTTCCATTTTTAAAGGTCAGCGGTGAAAACCTAAGCACAGAGGAACACCTGAGGACCCATTCTCCTTTTATTACATGCAACAAGTGGCACAATCCCATATCTAATTCTATGCACAAGTTACTCATAACCTAGGAAACCAGAAGGACAAGTTTGCAGTTTGTATTTCAGTCCTGAAAATTGAAAAAAAAAATCACTTTTTAGATATTCAATGTTATTCTTGATTCAAAAATAAAGCTTTCCTGGATCTGCATCATTCTGCCCTTTCTAAGCTACATTTTATACCAAATCAAAGGACACTAATATAGTAGTAATTGCTAGCATTGAATGTTTACTATTGGCTAGCAACCATACTGATTTTGTGTGCATTCTTCTATCTTTACAATGCCTACAGGAAAGAAATATCATCTCCATGTTTCAGACGAGGAATGTTATGATTTATAACTAGATGTCCCCACAAAGTTTAATGCACCAACAGGTGGGGCTTTTGAAAGGTGACTGGGTCATGGGGGCTTATAGCCGACTTGCTGTTAGCAGGTGGGAGGAGGTGGAGGAATGGGAGTGTAGCCTTGAAGGGTATGTGGCCTCCCTCAGCTCCCCCCTTCACATTCTCTGTTCTCTGTCAAAAGAGAAGCAGCTTTCTTCTGCCCAGGTCTACTTATACCACTTCTGCCTGAAACCAGCTGACCATGCAGGGACTGAAATATCTAACTAACTCTGGACCTAACATGTCAAAAGAAGTACATGCTTTGAAGAAAGAATGTTCATGCTACACTGTATCCTCTTTATTATTTTCCATCAGAATTTTTTTTCTCTGTATAAAAGGACAGAAAAATCTATCCTTTTGAATTTGAGTAACTAACTTATGAATATCTTGGGAAAGACTCAACAATTTTTTTCTTGGCTCTAGTGCCAGGAAGCAAAAGTGAAATTACAGATAAAAGAAATGAATAGTTACTTTTTTTTTTTGCTGACACAAAATATCTGATGCCCATGTTAAGGAAGGAAAGGTTTATTTAGCTCACATTCTGTAAAGGTTTCAGTTCATAATCTGCTGGTTTCAAGCTAGGGTGACTTGGCAGACACACAGTACAGAGGAGAAACAGTTCATGCTGGGCTGAAGTAGCAGAGCAATAAGAGATGACCATGACTTTTTCTGTTCCTCATATCTTATCCAGACTACACATGGTAGCAGTAGAACCAGAAACATGTTAATTATTTGATCTCCCTGGAATTTAACATATAACTACAAAGAGAAATTAAGTTATTCTCTGAAGTGGTATGTCAACTAATCACCCTTAGTTAAGCTCAAAAATCTTGAAATATGGCATAAGATGACAGTGGTTCCTGAAGATAAAATTCTGATATGAGTGCAGTGACCTTGATCTTAGCTTTGCACCATGAATCAATTCTAGCATTACACACTTTAGATCCAGTCAACTAAAAATAGCTCCACCTATGACTGCATGAGGCTTTCAGGCATATCTAGACACACGCTATAACATTCTGTCCCTGACTCCCCAACCACTCATGCACATCCTTTTATATAAAAGGCATTTAATCCATCTCCAGGAGTTGTCAATGTCCTAAGAGTTGCAGCACTGCTGAAAAGTCCAAGTCCAAAGTTTCTTCTAAGATTTAAGGCAAACTCTTAAGATGTGAGTCCCTGTACAAATGAAAAGGAAGTTAAAAACTTCCATCATTCAATGGCATAAGATAGACATTTCCATTCCAAAAGTTACAAATGGTGGGGGTATCAAGGAATGTTTGCCCCGGCAGGGCAAACATCAAATCCCATAGTTATATATCTACCATCGCCTGGAAATCTGTGGCAAGTTGTGAACTGCAAAGCCCTTGGGTGGCTCTATACCTATGTCTCATCTTGTAGTGGTACTCTCATGGCTTCTTTGGCTGGCTTTGCTTACTCCTGGCAGCATTCTTTGGACAATCCACTTCTTGCTTACTAAAATATTCTGGGGTCTGCACTGCACCTACAGCTTCACATACTTCCCTCACTAAGCACACTGCCTGACTTCCCAGGCCTTCTTCTGAAGTCTGGGTAGAAGCCTTCCTAACCCTACAACTCTTACATTCTCCATGTACCACGTGATTGATGCCAAGGTCTGCTGCCACCTGGAGCAGCCATGCTTCCTTCTCTTTTGGTTTGAGAGGTTGCATGCTGGGATCACTGAGCACTCTGAATCTAATCCAAAGGAACAGCTTCCCTATGCTACTACCATTCTGGAACATGGTTCTCTGAGGTTCTCTTTTCAATGCAAAGTTTTTCACTTTTGCAATTTTGAGGCTGCAAAGGGTGAAGTCCTGCTGCTTCATGTGATGCCTTCAGCCCATCTTTTATTGTCTCTTGTTCCTTCTTAGCAATCAAGATCTCCTCAGAGACAGGGATTTAGGTCAGTGGCATAAGTGCCTGCCTTGCAAGCACATAGTAGTGAGTTCGATCCCCGGTACAAAAAAAAAAAAAAAAAAAAAAAACCCAAAAACACAACAAAAAAACCCTCCCCTATTCTATCTTTGCAGTCCAGTTTTACTGAAGTCTCCTTTTAGCCAAATTCACATTTTAAATTATTCTGCGCTCATATCAGATTCCATCTTCAAGAACTAATGTCTTCTTATGCCATATTTCTATTTTAAGATTTTTGAACTTAACTAAGGTCGATTAGTTGACGTACAACTTTAGAGACAATTTAATTTCTCTTTGTAGTTGTATGTTAAATTCTAAGGAGATCAGGTAATTAACATGTTATTCTTGATTCTCAAAATAAACCTGGCTAAAAGTCCACAACATGAGCCATGCCACCTCAACATTAGACTCTCTTGAAATTTCGCCTGCCAGTTTAAGTAGTACTCCATCCTTAATCTTAGTTTCAGGGAGTATCTGGACATGAGCAAAATGTAGACAAACTTTCCTCCAAGGCATAACAAACGTCATCAGAATCCAAGAGCCAATGCAGTTCATCTTCCTGGAAGACATCTCTTGAGTCTGGCCTTTACCAGCAGCATTTCTATCAGCATTCTGCTCTTCCAAGCTCACCAGAATCTCCCATTAAGCACAGCCTGAGGCGTTCCAGCTCTACTTTTTCAGTTGGCATCTCCAAACCTTTCCTAGTTCTTCCCTTCCCACAAACCACTTTCCAAGGCTCCTAAACCACATGGCAAAGTACAGTCACACCAGTGATACCACTTTTCTGGTACCAAATTCTCCATGAGGCTTTGGGAGGAACACAAGCCATAAAGGGGGAGGAAAAGGGAAACTACTGCTTTATGATACCCCTTTTACCCCACTGACTCAGCTCACTGATAGGCTGACAGGAAAAGTTTGTGAAAGCTTTAAAAGATTTAAGTTTTAGATAATATTTGGGTATAGAAGCATTATTTTATAATTAAATATATTGAAAAAATAAATCTAAATTGATTCTCTGAAGCATTTATTTCAAGAATACATTTTGGAATAAAATTACAAAACCAGTGTAAGAGATACCCACCTGGAAAGTACCGTTCTGGAACTTTAGAAATGTAGAATAGGAAAGCAAGAAGAGCAATCACATACATCACAATTACACGGGATGCAAAGTCCTAAAAAGTAAAACATATTTTATACATATACGTATCTACAGATAGATAGATAGATATAGATATATTTACAGATTTTTCCTACTGTTACTGAATTCTCATCTTCCTATAAGTATAATGGTGGAGTCAAAAATTATTAAATTTTAACCATTTTATAAATACACTTCAGTAACCAAAGCTTTGTTAGCATTTCTTTTTTTTTTTTTAATCTTTTTTTTTTTTTTTTTTTTATCAGTACCAGGGATCGAACTCAGGACTGCCTGCTTGCAAGGTAGGTGCTGATGCCACTGAGCTAAATCCCCAGCCACTTTGTTAGCATTTCTTAAGAATGGAGCACAGCAGGTGTCCTTAACATTAGGTTTCTAAAGGAGCCAGAGTTTTAGCACTACAGAGGATCCTGAAGGTGTCCAATTCCTAGGGTAGAATGCATCTGGGAACAGTTATCAGCAATACAAGCAAAGAGATTAAACACCAACAACTTATGGCCAGGAAAGACCTAAACATTTCTGCCTAAGATAGAAACTTTTTCCAGTACCATTGATAAATGATCTTCTGGAGCACTACTATATGCAGCTCTCCATCGCACTGTTCAATGCTCTGCTGGAAAAGTTTTACTGGCCCTTGAGAAAATCAGCCAGTTATAACTTAAATGTAAGTTTTTAATTCTGGTTATAAATCTAATTTACCAAGAATTCATTTAAGGAATAAAAAGAATTTTTTTCTCTTCAAATACATGAGAATTTTCATAACTTCTTAAATTCTATAGTCTTTGATTTAATCAACTTCAGATTTCTTAACATTCTAGAAGTGATACAACAGTCTAGTGGTGATACGACAGCACATGTATTATTTGTTTTTAAGTCAAAAGATAATATTATGAGTTATTTTTTCTAAATGAAAACCTCAGTAGTCAGTGGTATTTAATTTTTGTTTGTGTATTTTTTCGTTTTGGTACCAGGGATCAAACTCATGACTTTACGCTTGCCAGTCAGTATTCAGTTTTAATTGCAATGTTGGTTGGTAGCTGGTGACAAATAAGTAGGCTTTGGGTTGTAGTTTGGGTACTCATCTCTAAAAGGTTTGCCATCACTGATCTAGAACATAACTTTACCTTTGATAAACCTCTCTTCTATATTTTGAAAATTATATATTAGAAAATTTCTCTGAAGTTTTCTTTGCTTTCCTCACTGAAATGATCTGTGCTCATATCAGAATTCTACCTCCAATAACCATTGTTTGATGCCATATTTCTATCTTAGGACTTTTGAACATGGAAATATCTCTTTTTTCTTCTAAATTTCTCTAAAATCCACTGAGAACAGGTATATTTTTTTTTTTTTGGTAGCGGGGATTGAACTCATGACCTTTTGACCTTGAGCTTGCCAGGTAGGCACTTACGCTGCTGAGCTAAATTCCTGGCCCCTTAGCAGATCTTGTCTTTTTGTCACTGTAAGTTTAAAAGGGATACGTTCACCATACCCAAAATGTTAATCATTTCTGTATCCACAACCAGTTACTCATTTCTGGTGAAAACTGAATTTAGGGTTTCATGGTCCCATTCTATTTTCTTACATTCAGGGAATCAAAAGTGCCAAAGGGGATGCTTTTCAGATAACAGAATCACTTATCTCCTTCATTTCCACCATCTCACCTTCTCTCAATTTCCTAATTTTTTTTTTTTTTTTGTCTTTTTCCTTTTATTTTATGAAGAAAATATTACCGCTGTTCTCATTCAGGCAGCCCACTGCCACCGAATGGCCTTTGTTCTCAGCAGCACACAAGTGCTTTTCACCAGGCTATTGCCAACTTACAGGAGAATGTAAGTCTGCGTTTAAAATTCTGCATTTCAGACAAGAGTCCCAGGGCAACAAGTAACAATTTTAGGTGATTTCTGTTCTTTGAAAGAAATATAGATGATTTCTGCCAGCTTTCTTAGCAAATTTACTTATGTTAAAAAATTTCCAATTTATTCTCTAACACATTTTTATAAGAATGTCTAAAAATGTATTTTTAATTCTCTTCTCAAGAATACTGACTGGGGGGGCTGGGGATTTAGCTTAGCGGCATAAGCGCCTGTTTTGCAAGCAGGCAGTCGTGAGTTCGATCCCTGGTACTGATAAAAAGGAAAAAGACAAAAAAAAAAAAGAATACTGACTGGGTTTGCGGAAGTTCTTCCTAATGCCTATCAGCTGTTCTCCCATAAAACTTGACTTTAACAGCTCTTTCCATGTTCCTCAGTTATTTCGCTTAGTGGGCTGCAATGCTTCCCTAGCCCCAGCTTCCATGACGATATTACTTTTGAATCTTTATTACAAATCTCAAATTGCTTCCTGAATTCCAGATTCATGTCTATTTTTACAGCCTATTCAGTATATACCTCAAACTCAATATGTAAAATAAAAAATCCTTTTCAACTTCCTATTTCTAGTTCTGTATTTTGGTTAGCATTGGCATTTTCAATAACCCAGCAGACAAAGCTAGAAACTTTGAAGTTCTCCTTTACAGATAAAGACTTAAGGTATTTACATACTAAGTTATTAGCAAAAAAATGTGTTATTTCACAGAAAGACATTCAGAAAGAAACTGTAGTGAGACTTTACTTCCACTTTTCAAAGATATGTTTATTATATAGCTGGGAAAATTATGGTGTTAATATACAGTGAAACAGAATCTCCTCACGGGACACAAACCCAGCCAGATGGGCTGGTTACAGCACTTTTCTGAAATAAATACGCTCCCCCTACCTGTACGATAGGAGCACCAACTCCTCCATTGAGCCAAACCCAGTGAAGAGTAGGGATCACCCCATAGCCAGACACAGAACAAAAGATGATAGAGCGGAGCCTCTGCCACTGCTGCGTGAGGTAACTGGGGTGAATCTGCGCGAAGAACACTGCGAGGATCATAGCGAGCACTGTGATCAAGTACACCTGCCGCCAATACTAAGAGGAAAGGAAATCAAATTTTAATTCTGCTATTCGCTGCAAGGGAAAGCAGAGATAATTCTGACCTCTACATTGCACATTCAAAACTGCTTGGCATTTTATTTCCAAGCAGGGTTATTGACCTTTCTTAAAAATATGTAATTTTATACAACAAAGACCACGTTTATTCCCACAAAAGCATCTCCTGAGTACTTCTGGTATGACAGGCACAATTTAAGTTCTGTAGATACAAAGTGGAATCACCCTCAGGGTAAACACATAGACTCCATAGTACAGAGGCAGACACAAGCATGCAATCACAACATCATGATATATGCTGTAACTGAGTTACAAACAAATGTTGTGGAACCACTGAAAAGGAGAACAATCAACTCTCCTTGGAGGAACTAAAAATTCTCCACAGTGGAGATGACATCTCAGCTAGGTCTTGAGGAAACTGTGAGATCATATGGGAAGATTTTGAGGAAAAGTATGAGCAAATGCCACAGGGAAGTGTGGAAAAGGGAGGGTGAATGGCAGATGAGGTGACACTAAAGATGTCAGTTATGAAGAATGACAAGAATCTTTAACAATGGGGTGATGCAGCCACTTTTCAAATTGACTTATTAGAAAGATAACTCTGTCATCAGTATAGAGAAGAGGTACTAAGAAACAATGGAGTAGCTGACAATGGAATAGTCAAAGAGAAAATAAGGCTTGGATTCTGTTGAAGAATACAAACGTGAGCACTAGCTGCAGAAGGTCATTTCCATGGCTGACTAATTGTAAACAAGGGCTGGAGAGAAAAGTTCAACTTTTTTAGCCTCAAGGCCATGTAAACATTAATGAAGCAAATGAACAAAAACCACCAGATTTTTTGGGAAGGGGATATATGTGATGGGGGAAGAGGCCAAGGAGCATGATGGAATATTCACTTAAAAACATTAACTCTTGAAGGGTTTACAAGACATTCGGATACCTAAATGAGCAACTGAAAAGCATCACAGAGGGCAAGTGTTCATATATTGTGCTCCAACGACTTATGTGGAACTATTCACTTTCTGGACTTGCATGTTGGATGGTTGGTTTGGTGTGTACCCAAATGTACTCACTCCTTGATCAAGGGTACACAGCTTTCAGTCCCGTTTTGCAAGGTGAAGAGACCACTGAAGCAACCGAACACTTGGAAATGATCAGAAGCCAGAGAGAAACAAATTTTCCTTTTAAGACAATGGACTATATTTTAGCTCCAGTAGTTTCCTTCTTTTTTCTAGTTTTTCTGATGAGTGTCCTACTTTGATGTTTAGAAAGAGGTAAACAGAAAATAGTTACAGAGAATTATAGACTAGGATAAGTAAACAATTCAAATACTACCTGACGCCCTTACAAGCTCATAGTTATCAGCAGCTTGCCTATAATTTTTCAAAAGATTTAGTGTTTCATGCAAAATGAGTAACTTATAAAAGCTTGGTAGATAGGAAGAGTTTACTAAAATCAAATCAAGTTACAAAAAAGTTAATTATATATATATTTAATTATATTCTTTTGTTCTGTCTCAAAGTAATCAGGCTTTAAAAGCAAATAGCCCGTGCTTAAATGGATATAATTAATAATGCTCATACAGTCAAATCTAACTTCTGACTTTTATCTCTGCTAGTTTTGTGTAACAGATATGTTAAGTTTCCCGTGTCACTATGTAGAGACAAGGGTCCTATGGAAGAATCCCAAATATTCCTAAGAATCCTGTGCTGTAGCTAATCTTCCCAAGAGGCCATGGCTTAATGACTATGTGCCATACAGGTGGAGGGAGGTTTGGTCAGGACAGGCTCCATTCCTTGCGAAAATGAAGGTTAGGGATACTGCTTCTGAGGGAGAAATATATTCTTGGCTTTGAAAAGGAAGTAATTAAAAGGACAAAAGAAAAAAATCAAAGAACATGGTAGAAAAGCAGGAGGTAAAAAAGAAGATGGTCTTTCTGAACAGGAGAGCTTGAAATGTATGGAGTCCAAGGGATGATTGGATGATTTAGTTTGTCTTCTGGCCAGAACAGATGATGGGTTAAGGATTTTATTCCACAAGGTTTGGTTAGCCAACATTGTTAGGTTACATGTCATGTTGTCTAATCAAAGTGCCACAAATGTTGCTTTGCATAAGGCAATACCTTGGTGGTGTGAGGGGGAACAGAGCTAATTCAGAACTGAGAATAGATACCTTTCTTAATGACACTCTTTACCTGTCTGGTCTGTCTCTAGGACTCATACCAAATATAAGACTGAGGAAAGGAGAATATATTTCTCAAAGAAAAATATGAGTCAATACATGCATACAACTTTTTTTTTAACTGAGAGAAGTCAAGTTTGAGAAGGAAAGTGCAAAGCAGTAGCCAACTTCACAAGTTTATCAGATGTTAACTTTAACTTCAATTCTATAAACACAAAAATGAAGATGTGTAATATGCATATCTGAGGACCACATAGACACAAGAATTTAGTAGAAACACTAATAACTCAGTGCCTACATTGAGTTTTGGAAATAATCATACCTTTCAGAGCTGGGTGTGGTGGTGTACACCTGTAATCCTAGCACTCAGGAGACTGAGGCAGGAGGATCACCACAAGTTTGAGTCCAGCTTGGTCTACATAGTAAGCCCAGGCCAGTCTGAACTGTATAGTGAGACTTTGCCTCAAAAACAACAACAAAAACAAACAACAAAAAATGAAAGCAAAAAACCCTATACTTTTCAATGAAAAATTAGTAAAATAAGAATAGAACTAAATAGAAGTTACAGATCACAAAGCCATTTGGGAAAAAATAAGTTTAAGCACATATATGACTCTCCTGTTTCTTCTGTTAGATAATTATGTACTTATTCAGAAATTCAAAGGAAACACTGTAAAAAAAAAAAATCCAAGACCTATATGAAAGGCAGAATGTGAAATATTTGGAGCTAGGAGACTAGCTCAGGGTATAGCACTTGTATAGAATGGGAGAGGTCTAATCCCCATTATCTCAGAGAGAGAGACAGACAGACAGACACACACACACACACACAGAATATAAATGAATGAGGTGAAATGTTTAAGCTACTTACATTATTACAATAAAAGGCATAAAATACTCCTGAGACATAGCAGCCTAGAATTCCAATAGAAATTCCTGCATAATCTAATGCCATCCATCTTCGACAGGTTTTTTCTGACCGATGGCAAGAAAAAAGATGATAACCCACAGAGCAAAGCATACAGACCTATGGAAAATAAAAACAAATCTTAATAAGGCGAAACAAAAAGAAATCAAAACAATTCATGCACAAGTTCAAACTATTGCTCAGGTAGCTAAGAACTGTCATGTCTTTCCAGGTATGTTCACTGTGTATGTCAACACCTGTAATACACAAGGCAGCAAACACATAGCTTTTAAAATCAATAAAATGGTCTCATACTATACATTGTTTCTCCATTTGCTTTTTTTTTTTACCCAAGACTTTCTGTGTCCATATGAGATACACTGTGGAGTTTTAAGTTCTAAGATAAACATGACTCTTTGAAAAAATAATCATGACTGATTTTGTATGGCTGCAATAGTGAACAGCAAGCTAACAGGATCCAATCAGTTGCTACGATCACTGAAAAGGCTTCTCTGGCAGATTCTCTCTAGCCATCAAGCATTTGCTATATGTCATTCACTGGGGGATAAGAAGATGAAACCTTTATTCTTGAAGAGATTTTTGAGAAACAAGTAGACAAGAAGTGCTGTACAAAGTCCTACAGAGGTGAGTACACAGCATAATTAGAAAACAGAGGAGGGAGGGTGCATGCTGTGTGAATGCATGTGGATGTCTAGGGGTGGCAGTGTTGGAGAAAAAGAGCATCACAGAGGGGCTGCTGCCTGAGCTGGATCTTAAAGTTCACCTGGCACTCATGAGGGACACAAAACTGGTGTTCACAGATTTACAGGGATTGGGAAGTTTCCACAAAGAAAACTACCATAATAAAAAGTAGAGAACCATTGAAGAATGTCATGTGTCTTTCTTCATACATTTCCTACACATGACAAAGTTTTAACTTCAGTTTGAATGGCCAGGTATGATAGTACTGAAATTTGAAGACATCCTTCCAAAGATGTGGACTAGTCAGGCTGAAGTAGAACGTTACAGAAACAGCACTGTGGAGCAAGGACAAGAGCCAGTGACAGTGGAGGAGGAAAAATGGGGCAGTACACAATATGAAGTAGCCCCAACTGATTAATATTTTGTAAAGCAGCTGCTAAGTAGAAATCTAGTCATTTTACATTCTGTTCATTAAACAAGCCTAACCAGTTACTACAGACTCAACATCGGTGTTCAGTGGCAAAGTACTTAGTCATACTTTATTTCTTCATCCACCTCAAATCTTATTGGTCCGTGGCTTTTTGGCTAATAAGCTAGAAATTGGAATTAATGGGCCCATCAGACATAATTCTAAGTAGCTTGACTGTTTTCCTGGATTATCCTTGTGGTGAACTGCCATAAATCTGGAGAGTATATGGCATACATTCTGACAAGGAAAGATCTCATTGTCACAGTGTTGGATGATACAAGATCCAGTTATGAAATAGGAAATGACTTTTACTTCCATAAACTTTTTGTTGGCTTGCATGTTGATCTGAGTATACAGTATAGTAATAATAAGAAGTAATAATGAAGCTCATTTCATTGTGTAAAGGAAAGCAAAAGAGGAAAGAGAAAAACTATATTTTCAAAGGAAATAATGTTAACCGACAATTCTATATTTTAAAAAAAGTTAACATGGTGTGCCATATTTAGAAAAATGTGTGTTATTCCTGGAGTTCCTTAAAAGATGAAAAGTCTTAAATTGAGTATATTTCAGATATAACAGAAAGTTTCTTTCTATGGAATGTCTTTCCACTTCGGTACACAGATAATTATAGCATTATATCCTACATCTAATTACCTGACTTAACCACAGCCTCTCTCTCTAGCCTTAGCTTTCTCCATTCTCCCAGGATTCAACCATAATGGTTAACACCTGCAGGTCCAGAAAATGCTATTTTTGGGGGATGGGGGTATCGCAGATTGAACTCACAACCTTGTGCTTGCCAAGCAGGCACTTATGCCTCTGAACTAAATCCCTGGCCCCTAAATGCTATATGTTTTCTGGGCTGTTACACAATTGTTTTTTCTGCCAGTGTCCTGCCTCATTCTCTCTTCTGTTCTCAAAGGATCAGTTGACTTTCATAGCATGTTGGTTCTGTTCAACAATGTATAACTGCTGTTTAGTCTAGGGCCTTGAAATATGTAAAAGGTAATCAATAACTATTGAACTTAATTATTAATAACACGAACTAACCTTAGAGAAAGACATTCTCAGGATTCTATTCCTCAAAATAGATCAACTGTGAAAAGATCCAAAGTTGCTGACTTACATCCTACTACTCAGAATGCACTCTACTAATCCAAGGTTGGGAAGAAAGTACTAGCACACAGAGTGGGTCTCTTACAAATCAATATTAATGAACACACAGTTTACCAGGCTACTTGCTTCTCTAAGAATCTGGAAAACTTGAGTGAGTAAGATACAACTTCATTAGAATAAAAAGAAAAGTGGTCTTTTTAAGTAGGAAAAATTGTATTCATTTGTCCAGAGGAGGCCAGCCTGTACAGCATGTAACAGAAAGATCCTAAGGGTAATAGTGAAGAGACTAGGACCTTAATGTCCACCTGAATAGTTTAACACTTGGGCCTGTTTCCTTATGTGCAGTTATAATAATTAGTTACCTCTTTTTAATTTTACTATACATTGTTAGACCAAAATGGAAATTAGTATGTATTCTCTGAACTAACATCATCTGTTGCAGGTGGCAAAAGGCAAAGGACAGGCCTAAGGATAGAGGAAAAGACAAGAGATTCTCCAACTAGATAGATGATATTCACACAACTGACAGTAGAATACAAACCAGTTTTTACTTAGTATTAATGAACATTAATAGTATCTTATGAGATAGGAGGATCACAAGACCATGTCTTGCCTGGCAACTTGTCAAATCCCTGTCTCCAAATAAAAAGTGAGCTGGGGGTATACTTCTCAGTAGTGCATCCCTGGGTTCAGTCCCTAGTGCCACACAGATATACACCACACACAAAAGGAAGACTATCTTATCTTAGTCTGTATTAACATATATCTAAAAATGTAACTCTAAAGAAATTGACTCATTTTCCTTGTAAAACTAGAGACAGATTCTAAGAGATTTTTGGTTCTAATCAACACAAAAAGTAAATCTCAGAAATACAATTTAAGAAGCATTAAATTTTTTTCTAATGAAAAAATACTATATATTCAAATAAATTTAAATTTTTTCCAGTAACTGGAACTTTTAAAATGGAAGATGGTTTTGATGTGTTTCTTGACCTTTCAGGCCCAAAGTTTGAATCTGAATAAAATGATGGAGGTCTGAAATTTCATGATGCGATGAAAACATTCTCTGTGTGGCTGATTCACAGTTTACCTCTCCCACTGAGCAGCAGCAGGCTAACTGCAAGGAGTAAGGGTCTGTGTCTGTGATGAGGAAGGGGACCAAAACTTATCATTTGTTATTTTTGTCTGTGTGCCTTGTATTTAAAAAAAAATTTTTTTAAAGAAGTCAACAGGACTGTGGCCCACATTTATTTTCTGCTTTAAGATAATCTATTTGAAAGACTATACATGTAACTTTTAAGGGTGTTTTTCCAGGCCCCTGAAAAAAAATACAAATGCCAAAGGAACTAGACAAAGGTAGGAAGGAATAGAAACAAAGTACTTGAAACCATGAAACTATAAAAGGATGAAAGGAAATTAACATTAAAATAATATAGCTAAAGATCAATGGCAATAAAACGAGATGTAAAAATAGTAAAATAAAGGTTGCATGGAAATAATGAATGCAAAAATCACAGATATATTGTAATTAGGAAAAAGATAAATCTTGCAAAACAGGTTTTAAGTAGGCAGTAGTGATTTACTTGGCTAAAGTATAGAGTACAGACATTATTGGCCAATGTTAATAGTAAAACAGAGATGTCTTAAACGATAAAGAGGAATTAATTTTTAAAAAATTTTTAAAACTTAGATTTCAAATATATTATAATAACATCCAAATACATGTTAATAGATCTTCTTTAGGTGTTTATGTTATGAAAGCAAATAAACTAACACACAGTACATGTCACTGTGGGGCCTCTTTGGAGCAATGGGTCTGAAGTGAAGTCACCAGTCCCTGCCTGTCTGACAAAAGTTCTCTTTCCCAGTAATGTGTTTGTGAAATGACTCACCTGGAAGCAGAAAAGACAAATAGAACAAATTACAAAATCTTCTCTGGACGCACTTGCCGAAGGTAATACAGACGTCATGTCATATATTCCCAGGGTGAAGAAGAGAAAGAAACCCAGCAAATGACTCCAGATGTTTACCGTCTCATTAGATAAAATAAACAAACTGGAAAGTAAACAAATATGCAGCTCAGATTCACACTGGCTGTTAACATTCAAAGGTTAGGGACAACTTTGGGAGTTATCTAACACTTTCCACTTTAAGGACTTAACTCTACCTCTGCCATTTTAAGTTTGTCATAACAATTATTTAAATTTTGCCGCATCTTCACCAATCCTGGGCTTTTAGAGCTTTTACTACACTCAATTTTATTATGTTTTCTTCCTTCTAGTAAGTTATTAACATATAAATTACACTACATCCTTTGCCTATTACCTTCGCAACCATATTTAGAACACAATTTTTCTTTTTTTTATCAGACCGCCTGCTTGCAAGACAGGTGCTTATGCTGCTGAGCTAAATCCCCAGCCCAAAACACAATTTTTAAAAGCAAAGTGTCTTGTTCAGATTATTTGCCAAATATCTACAGAAACGAGTGTGCAGATAAAAATTGAATCAGCTAGAACACTATTAATAATAGGTATGTAAAAAGCTGTTCAGTGCAGTTAGGAACAAACTTTAAATATCATTCCAACCATTTAATAAATATAAGTGGTTTCCATGTAGTTTCCACATAGCATGAGTTTATCTTTTTTAGGAACAAAGATAAAGTTTTAATATGGGTTCTATTTGCTTTTTATTGGTGTTGGTGTTGTTTTTTTAATTCCTGGCCTAAGTGGTTTTAGCAGCACATGTTGGTGGAGGAGTACACTATACCCACTAGACATCCCTCTCACTTTCCCCTCCTCTGGGCCACAAATTAGCTTTGCAGTCACAAGCAAGTCACATAACCTCTCTGCACTTCAGGTTCTCCATCTGTAAATAAAGTAGCAGATACTATAGGATCAGATACTACATCAACTTCCAGCTACTCTAATTTTGTGAAATGGGTTTCAGATGTGGAGAGTACTCATCTGACTTGCAAGAAGATGACTAAAGATTAAAATACTCTTGCAGTTTTTTAGCAAAATCTAATCTTTTTGCTAAAAGTAAGGTTTTGATGGTCATTGATTCAGAAACCCTTCTCAGTAAGCACTAAGGCATAACTGTAAGCTGAGTAAGCAGCAGCCACTGTGGTTGTAATTTTCCAATTTTTGTAAGTGATAAACACAGCAAGGTCTCAATCCATCAAATGATCAAGAATAAAGTTAATTTTGTTTATTTTATACAACATCAAGTATAAAGATCACTTAAAATGGGGAGAGTGCAGGGATGCTCCAGAAACATCTAACTACAGAATTGTTTTTGATAACAGTACTATGCTCTGCCTGCTGCCTTACAACTTTTCATTTGTGAAACCCAGTATCATCTGATTACTGGAACACAATTTTCCCATGTTCCAACTATTAAAGTATTGGCAAAACTATTAGAATATATAATATCTTCCTTGTTTCCAAAATCTGGCTTGATCACTCTTGAAAGCTAAAAGAAAAGACAGCAAAGGCTGAAACTGGAAAAGATAAAGCTGGCAGGAAAAGCACTTGGAAAACTACACCTAATAAAAGATCTACTTATTGTATTTTGAAAAGACACGCCACACTTTCTTTGGTCTTGAAATCAATAATCATGTTCATTATCATCATTAGTTCATTGATAACTGCAATTGTTTACTGAGTGCTTATTAAGTACCAGGCCCTGTGTAGTATTTTACATAAGTAATCTCACCTGATGCTATCCATTTAGTCTGACATTGTAATTAACTTCATTTTTATACGGGAAGAAAATAAGACTCAAAGAGGTTAACTTTTCCACAAGGTCCTCCAGTTATTAAGTGGAAGAGATATTGAATATTTAAGTCTTTTTGACTCAAGATCTAATGCTTTATATTTCTCATGCCATGTGATTTAAAAAGCAGAGGTCCACTGCAAGGTGGGTATAACACAACTAAGGCAATTACCGCATGCCCTATCCCTGCTAACTCCACACACACAGAAGGGCCCAGCTCTGATTTTTTGTGTTACTCATGCACAAGGAGGTTCTGAAGTGTGAAGCAGTAATTAGGATTCAGATTGTGAAGTCCTATTGGCCAGTCATTCAAACAACATGGATGGACAGTGATTCTGCCTTATGATTGTGTGTCACAAGCAGGACAAAAGGAAATAAAGATGGGGAAAGACCATACTGAAAGAAATTCAAAAATCAGACATGTGGATACTGCCTGAGTGGTTCAAAACACATATTCTAGGAGTGTGATTTGCTACCACAGTTACCTGGAACGCTATAGCTTGTGTCTTAATTCTCCTGAGTGGGGCTCTGTATTCAGTACACGCAGTGAGTTTCGATAGAAAGTTATTCTACAGTAGAATAGCAATTTATCAGATCTGTGTTTTTAAACACAGGCTTTCAAAGGAATCTAGTTTTAAAATTTTAGAACAAAAAAAAGAAATTCCTTTCTTAGAGATCTTCAAAGGTGCCACAGTGGAGGCTGAGAGCAGTGCCCGTTACAGCTCTCTTTGCTAAGCGTTTTTTCTACATAGCATTTTCCACAATGGCTATTATGTAATATGCAATTATCTCTTTAATGTTTGTCATCCAGGCTAAACTGTAGCACCTTCATGAGAACAAAGGCTATGCCAGCTCTTTTCTGCAGGATCTGGTACAATGCTTAGTACCTAGCAAGGGCTTCATAAGGATCTGTTAAATGAATGAATCTGGGCTTTTTAAGTATATATGTATGGCAATGTGAACTGTTTCATTTAGCTGGCCCAAAGCACCCGAATTCCCACAGGGCTGCTCTGAACACAAACAATGCTTAGGTGTGCACAGGGCAAGTAATGATCAACCACTGTCAGCGGGTTGATTCCAACGTGTATCCCATTGGGCACAAGAGAAATAAAGGATGCAAAAGCACTATGTAAACGTCAAAGCCCAAAGGACAGTTGGCAATTATGAACACTGTTACTATCATGATTATTCCGCTGACCAAACACCTCGGAAGGGAGACAGGTGGGGAGACGAAAAGGACCGAAGGTGGCGAAGGAACGCAAGCGCGGGCGAAGCGGAGAGCAGCGGGAGACCAGGCAGAGGCGCCGGGCCAAGCGGCCGGACCGTACCTTTTGATGCAGAGCCTGGAGGGCAGGTAGGCCCGATAACCGTCGGTGATGTACGGGTTGTCCTTGAGGGACACGGGGATCTGCTCGTAGGTGTAGAGGCGAATGCCGCGGGGCACCAGGACCGGCCAGTATTGATAGCTGCCCAGCTCGATGTAGTGTGCGCTCTTCAGCAGCTTCTGATGCATCCTTCCCGGCCACCGCCGCTCCCCGCCGGGAGCCTGCCCAGGCCCCGGCCCCCCGGGGAGGGGGCTTCGCCGCAGGAGCCCCCGTCCCGGAGCCCGCGAACGCGTGCAAGGACCCGCGGCCGCTCAGCTCGGCCAGGCCGGGCTCGCAAACCGGCCGTCACCTACTTCAGCACCCGGGCCACAGCTCCGTCGCAGATCTCTGTGACGTCAGCACGCCGCGCGGCCTCGCCCCCTCCGCGCGGCCTAGCTCCTAGGGCAACCTGCCAGTCGTACGCATGCGCAAATCAGCTGCGTGTCGGGTCCGCGGAGTGTAGTCTTTTCACCTGGGAGCGCTGTTTGTGGGGGACACTGCAAGTAATGTTTTTCTCTTTCTCCTTTTAAGTAGAGACTGCACTTGCTACATTTTGAAATAGCAAGAGGAAAAGAAGTAACAAAAATAATGGCTAAAGCTAACTCACTACCGGTTGCTTTGTGCTTGGAATTACGCACTTAGGAAAGGAACTTCGAGGTTTTTGTAGTCGACAGCCATATTCATTTATTTATATTATTAATATTCTTAGGTTAGTGTATTAGTGTGATACAAAACAGCTGCATTCATCTGGGGGGATTGGCACAGCTACATATCACAAATCGATCATTTTTCTTTCTCTTCCCCGGATCTCCCGGCTCCACAGCGTCTACCTCCCTGTTTCCCACCATCTCTTTTATTTTGCGGTTAACATAAATGTATATTTTCTTATATTAGAGAGTCTGTACAATAGTTAACCTACTGTGTTTTCTTTCACTTAGCATTATGGTCTCGAGAGCCGCCCATTTTCCCATACACGACTCGAATGTACCCTTTTGGACTACACCCGGTTTTTAGGTGCTGTTGGTGATAGAGGAGGCCTGAGGTGCCTGGAAGGTAAACCAGAAGCCAGCGCTGCAGAACTAGAAAGCAAGCCCCTGCATGTTCAAAACACACACACCCGTTGTGTGTTCTTACGGGTGTGAAGTGGGCCTCCCCCTCACCATGGAACCAAATGGAGATACGGTGATGTGGTGAGGGCTGTCGTCCAAATTCCATCTTGCTGAGGTTCCAGGGGCAAAAAAAAAAAAAAAAAAAATAATAATAATAATAATAATAATAATACATGGGATTCCTGGGAGGGATCAAATTAATAAACTCACATGACATTTAGAAAAGTGCCTGGCATGTTTTCAAGCACTCAGCAAATGTCAATTTCAGAGTTCAGGGAAAACTACGATTACTAGAGAAAACTGGAATAACAAACTGAGATATAGTCTAAGTGGACTTAAAATCCATTTTAAGGAAGAAAGATGTATTCTATAAGCCATGAAACTTAAAAAATAAGAGCTTTCCACGTGCCTAGTACTATCTGTGCTGAAGGTTTCTGTATATAGGGATATACTGCTACCTAGTGGAAGATCATGTCTGAGCGTGACTGCTGCTACTCGTATACACACTCCTTGTGGGAGGGAGGTGATTTCTGCATGATGTCACATGATACTATGTTGTGGTCACCACTGACCCAAAGGAGCATCGGTGGCCCATGAGATGTGCAAACACTAATTCCCTTAAAGAATAATAGTAATTAGTTTGACCAATCAAGATCTTTCCTGAGTCTTTGAACTGGAAGAGAATCTGTAGGCTAGTATTTGAAACAAGTGGAAAAATTCCCAAAGATTATTACATATAAAGTAACTGAGCTACGGTAATGGTGGGACACTAGAGTGAAGAAGCAAAAATGAAAGCAGTCTGATCACAAATGTACTCATGAAGTCTGTTGCAGCGTGACTCCTTGATTGATTCAATAACTTAAAACTCATTGCAACTTTCCCTAGTCCATTTAATTTTAAGCTTTCCTCAAGAAAAAAACAAAAAACAAAAACTAAGCACTGTTTAACACCAAACACTTAAAAGTTGTCTATGAAATTCATGGATAAATATGAAAAGACAGATACAGCAATGGTCTATGCCTGATTTTAGAGAAAGAAAAAGGTCCATAAGTAAAAATGTATTAAACATGGAAAGAGGTTTTCCACTCAGGTCTGTAAGACAAAAAGCAAGAGCAGCACTGCTTTAGGGGTATTCTATAGATGGTAGCATAAACATGAGGGGCAGAAGCTCCACAGGAAACTCCCTGAGGCCCTTAGAGGGCTCTGGGAATTTAGTCATAGTGCTTGACAAAGTCCTAATGAAAGTGTAACACCAAATGTGGCACCAGGTAATATTTGAGTACCAGTTGACAGATGCGGATCAACAGTGGCACTGGCAAGAGACCGTGGTCTGTCTTGAAATGGCACTATAAGGAACTGAACTGTCTATGTGAGATGATAGGAAAGTAGCAGCACCATACAATGCACACCTGTGAGCTATCTGACTTCGGATGTGCTTCACGTGGTAGTGGGATAGGAGGGAGTTCTCCAGGACCTGGAAGGCTACTTCCCCACATGGGAACAACTGCCAGATAAATCTGGAGTTTTCATGCTGTGAGTGGTCATATGAGGACTGTAGAAACTTCACTGTGCCTCATTTTACAGGTCGAATTTCAGTGACGCTGGATGGAAAGACATTGGGGCTGGATGCAGAATTTGAGAAAGATGTTTCCTTCCATTTTGTTATCATTTTACTTTTATACAACTAATGATGTTGGAGTATACTTTTGGGTATTAAAACAGACTCAACAGTAGAACTTTACATTTATTCAATTCTGTGTTACAGTCATTTTCCTAAACACTTAGAAAAAAAAGATGAATAAGACATCTTTTGGACAGTCATCTTTATATGTCTCAGTGGGGCTCATTTTTGATCACTTTCTTATGAAATTCTTATTTTTCTTTTTAACTTTTGGAACCACTCTGACATGTGTGATTTTCCCTTCTCTCTCTGTCCCATCCATATAAGGGACTTTGATAGGTGATATTTTTCCTAGGAATGCTTTTCATCTTTCTTTTTTTCTCTCTCTCTCTTTCTTTCTTTCTGAGACAGGGTCTTACTCTGTAATTTAGGCAGGCTTTGAATTCACTATGTAGCCCAGGCTGGCCTTGAACTTGGGGCAGTTCTCCTGCCTCAGCCTCCTGATATCTGGGATTACAGTTGTGTGCCACCATGCCTGGCCAGGATTCTTTCGTTAGTTTTTAAAACTCTATTTATACCAGTATATTTTCATGGCTTCACTTATTGTCATTAGGGAGGTGACTCTTAAAACAGTACTGTCAGGCCAAATATCTTGTGCATCTAGATTCATATAAAAAGCTAAACACAAACTGAAATATCAAAGTTGGGTCTTTTAGCCAGTTATAGTGATCACCATGTGTTCCAGGCCAACTGGAGATATAAAGTGAGTTCAAGTTCAGACTGAACAATGTCGTGAGACCCTATGTCAAAAAACAAAAATGAAACAAACCTCTGAAAAGGGTCTTTTCTCTTTCCATTCTCACCTACACATCTAGAACTAGAATTCAGTATCTTTTCCATTTTTAACTTCCATTTTGTTGCTTGTCTCATGGCAATCTAATCTCTATTTTGCTGTATTGAAAATTCTTTTGCCAATAATGCTAAACTCAATTGATCCTTAAAAAGAAAAAGACTTCATTGTAAAATGAAATTAAAGTATCAGCCACAACAAAATAGAACTTCGCCAGTCACCCCAGTCTTCCCTTGTGTTTCCATAATAAGTCTCCACTTCTTCCAAAAGTAGAGACCTATAGGAAGAATGATAAATAGCAGAGAAAAAGCCTTCCTGAGAGTCGTTTTTCCAGACACTAAAATATAGGCTTATGAGAAAGACAAAGAGGGAAGTGGATCCCTGGACTCAGGAAGGATCTAAAGCAAAATTGAAGCCCACAGAGTGAGTGAAGAGAGTAACTGAAATACAGAAGCCATTGGTGCCTTTTCCCTGGGTCCCCCTTCTCCCTGACTCACTGCATGGGAGCTGCAGTTCAAATCTGTGGATATGTGGTGACTGCTGGCAACACCAGAGGTCTCCACGGAGAGATGCAACAGTGGAAGGGAGCAGTGTTTATGAAGGACTGCACTAGCTGGGATGAGTGCTGTGTGATTGGTCATCCCATGGGAGAGAGATTGCCTGGGTGCCACTCTGCAGTGGGTCCAACTGAGCTTGAACTCAGAACAACTGCTAGGTCCATCTAGTGGCTCCCAGCTCAAACCCTCAGTAGGTATGATGAGGGCGGTAGGCTGAATGGGTCTGGTATAAGCTTCATGGCCAGAACACAGTCTGAGCTTCAGGGGAGATGAAGACACAGTCTTGCTGAGATTATCCACTACCCTGCCATAAAGCTACTGATGGATTGCTGGAATAAATCAATACATCTGGACTCTCTCTGCACACATTGTCTACCAGTGACAGTAGAAACAAATCAGAAGTGAAATTTTTCTTCTTTTATTTCTCTCCCCCCTCCCACTTTCTCTTTCTCTCTCTCATTTTGTCTTTCTCTTTTGTGTTTGGTATTGTTTTTATATGAATGTGAATGTGGTTTCTAGCTTGTTTGTGGTTGTTGTTCTAGTCATGCTCTTATTTTTTTCTTCTCTCTTTCCTTCCTGTCTTCTGTACCAGTTTCCCAAAATTTGTGTGATCACCCTTGGTCCTCCAGCCTTGCTTTTAATCTCTTCCTCTTCTATTTCTCTATTTTTTTTCTCTAACCCCTTTTAAATTTTCTCCACTGACGGTATTGAGGACTTATGTACTGCATATAATTTTCTGGTTTTAGATCTAGTTCATATGGTTAGAGGTGGCAAATTAATGATTACTCACTTTGTCATCTTCTAGGCTGTGCTTGATGCTGCTATTATTGCTAATTGTACTACTTTAGCCAAAGTGACATAATTGTTCTAACCAATTGTTCTTCTTGGTATTCCAAAACTGATTTCCTAAGGATCATAGAAAATCCTATAGGCCGGGGCTGGGGATTTAGCTCAGCAGCATAAGCGCCTGCCTTGCAAGCAGGCAGTTGTGAGTTCAATTCCTGGTACCGATAAAAACAAAAAAGACCAAAAAAAAAAAAAAAAAAAAAAAAAGAAAATCCTATAGGCCAGTGCCAAAGAATCAGGAGCTGAGCCAAGTAGGCAGGAACTTCTCATCCTCAACAAATTGAAGAGATAGTATATTGCCACAGATTTAAAGCCCCAAAACCAGCTATACCTGGAAGACACCTCTGAGAAGCAGCCATTTCCTAAAGGTT